CAGTGGGTTTATATTTATTTGTAATACACACACACACACACACACACATATGTTTCTACCTGCAGAATATTGACAATAAATAAATGTAAGCATACTTATCTTATGAAAGGGGAAGAGACAATCTTCATCAACTCCATAGTTGCTATAAAATCTTCAGAATTTCTCAAACTATGTTCTTTGGAATCATTAATAGGTGTTTTACACACACACACACACACACACTCCTGTTGGGTCAAATAAAATTGGGAAACATTATATACTATTCTCAGTCCTGAAATTCTCAGTGTACATTAGCATATTAAAGAGTGTAAGAAGACTGGTCCTAGAGATGTTCAAATTGGTTTAACTCATCTTTTTCCAAAGTTAACTATCCCAAAATTAATTCCAGAGCTCCACCATCCTTCACCCCACCAAATCCTTATTCCCAGAGCAACTACTGGCACAACTTGTGGAGCTAGTTCATAAAGCAAAGTTGAAAAGCATTGTTTAAGTGGTTTCCATCTATACAGATTTTGTTCTCTGAATAGTATGTAAGGAATTTTGAGTGACAATGGCACCCATTAGAATGTAACTTCAACTGACTCCATAATCAGAAATTTAAAATGCAAATATTTCAAGAGCAAAAATTTCTAAAGCAAAAAATGTCTTTACCATTTAGACAATGTTGCAGAGATAAATTTGGATTTATGTACCCTTATAATAATCTGGTGTGGTAATAGGTTAAAAGACTTATAAATATTAAACACAAATAAGATTAACTGTGTCTCAATCTTATGTATATACAAGGCCTGGACAATTTTCATACAGCAAATGTACACTGTACATTTTTTTGAGGGGAGTACAGTCTCTTGGGAAAACAGAGATAATGGACGCTTCTTTTCATTTATACTCAGTACAAGTTGTGTATTATGAATCCATGTTAGTATGTTAAAGACATGAAACCATGGCTATTGAGCTTCAGATGTGGCTGCAAAGAATTAAGAGATCATCACCATCTCCCTCTAAATATCATGAAAACCTAACTTGACAATCTCCTCTTAAAGGAGCTTTCCTCAGGATGCTTGGCTATGCATTAAATCTTGGCACACACACACAAATAAAAACAGGACAGCTCCAAAGGTTCATTTATGTTGGCTGGCTTATAAAGATTAAGTCCTCAGATGGCGTTCCACAGAAGTCATCAAATGTGAGTATAATTGAAAATAAAACCTGAAAAATATTTAAATATTGATAGGAAAGTGAACAGACAGGATGAAGTCAAGACACCACTCTTTAGATATCTAACATCAGTGTATGTCATACAGGATTAAAAAAATTAATTCTCTGGGGATTATAAGAGATTTCAGCTTTCACAAGGCATATTTTCTGGAAATAATGTAATTATTGTCATTGCAGAGGCACACGTTCAGGGTGTCTAAGTTTACCACAATTTGAAGCTTTGATCATTTGTGCTTGAGAGAAAAACAATGCAGTAAACTGAGTTTAATTATTCTCTATAATATCTTAATCCCGGGTTTCAGACATGATGTTTCCTTCCCATTATTATGTCCCAGGCACAAATAATTCAAATGGTCTTTGAAAGACATTACATGTTTAAAGGGCACTGAGCTTCTGTGGTGATGGTGATGGAAAAATTTGGAAAGAGATTGTAGTGATCATTGAATAACATGATGAATATAGTTAGTATCACTGAATTGTACATGTAAAAATGTCGAAACAGCAAACGATTTGTTACATGTGGTAAACACACACACACACACACACATACAGAGACACACAGAGCTAATATTATCATCTCCAATGAACAGAAAGGAATTGAAGCACAGAGTGATTAAGTAACCTGCCCCAAATCACATAGTGATGAAAAACAGAGATAAGATTCTAACCCAGAAAGATTAGCTGAGAGCCATGTCTTGTGATCTCATGGATATAATGTCTTTTTTAAGAAAAGTGGGCTGGCTTAATCAAAAAGTTAAGAAAATATAAGTGTGTGGCTATCAAATAAAGTCATGAAAGTAAGTGAATGTCTGATACTCGGGTAGCACTGGTATATCAAAATTGAGTTGGGGAGCTAGAGGTTAAGGATCTCTGCAGATTTTGAAGTGAACATTAGTAGGCAAATGACAGGGCAGAAGCTTCCAGTATGTTTTCTTTGTTCTTATTGGTTTATTACTTAAAAACAACCAGGAAGAACTGCTATACACTTCCCAAGATGAACTGTCCCAGCTTTCAACTTAGCCTGCTTTCGATATCATCCAGAAAATCTTCTTGCTTCCCGCTTTTACATCTTTTCAAGATAAGACACAGTCACATTTTTATAGGTGTTATAAATAATTCAAATAACTCTGAAAAGAAAAAGCTTCGATTTCTATACTACAATTTAAGGGGGAAAAAAAGAAACCTAAGAAACGAGCTGACAATCAGATCAGAAGTGTTACAGGAAGTTTTTTTGCTTGTTTTCTCCAGAGGTTAAGTCAGAATATCTTAAAAGGGCAGAAGTTTAAGGTCTAGCTAGGGAATAAAGACATGTTTTGTCTGACACTTCCTAATTCACATCTAACATTTATCAAATGCTTCTTAAGTAGTGTATTAAGAGGAAGGAGAAAAAAATAAAAAAACCCAGCCAGGAACTGGCAGACTCAGTATATTAAGCTTTCATTATTGTAAATTTGTATTTTAAAAACCCAGTATCTTTTCTGTAAATATGCAAGGATTACAAGGATTCTCTGACAATTTCTCTTTTTATAAAACCACTCTCACTGATGACAGATACATAGACCAATGGAATAGAATTGAGAACCCAGATATAGATCCATCGACCTATAGTCAGCTGATCTTTGACAAAGGCCCAAATCCATTAAGTGGGGAAGAGAATGTTTGTTTAATAAATGGTGCTGGCAAAACTGGAGATCCATGTGCAGAAAAATGAAACAAGATCTGTACCTCACACCACACACAAAAACAAACTCCAGATGGATCAAAGACTTAAATGTGAAACCTAGAACTATACAGTTTCTCAAGGAAAATTTAGGCTCAAACTTAAGGGCCCTAATATTTGGTATAAATAGACTATCAAGCATAATTCAAAATGCACCAACAGCAGAAGAGAAGCCAGATGATTGGGACCTTCTAAAAATTAAATGTTTATGTGCTTCCAAAGACTTCTCCAAAAGAGTCAAAAGAGAACCTACAGATTGGGAAAAAATATTTGGTAATAACATATCCGACAAGGGACTTATCTCTAGAATTTATAGAACACTCCAACACCTCAATAACAAAAAGACAAACAATCCAATTAAAAAATGGGCAGAAGACATGAATAGACACTTCACCAAGGAGGATATTCAAGCGGCCAACAAACATATGAAGAAATGCTCACGATCATTAGCTATTAGAGAGATGCAAATCAAAACAACAATGAGATACCATCTTGCTCCAGCACTAGTATCAAAGTTCAACAAGACAGAAAATAACAAATGCTGGCGAGGTTGTGGAGAGATTGGGACTCTCATACACTGCTGGTGGGACTGTAAAATGGTACAACCATTGTGGAAAGCAGTATGGCGATTCCTTCAAAAGTTGGAAATACAAATACCATTTGACCCAGCCATCCCATTACTAGGTATATACCCTAAAGAAGTGAGAGCCATAACAAGAACAGATATATGCACGCCGATGTTCATCGCAGCACTATTTACAATAGCCAAAACTTGGAAACAACCTAGATGTCCAACAACTGAGGAATGGATAACCAAACTTTGGTACATTCACACAATGGAATACTATGCAACGCTAAAGAATAATGTAGAATCTGCAAAACACCGCATAACGTGGATGAACTTGGAGGACATTATGCTGAGCGAAATAAGTCAGTCACAAAAGGACAAATATTGTATTAGTCCGTTATTGTGAAAGTTAAGGAAAGGTTTATATATTGGAGGACATTTTCTTTGTTGGTTACCAGGGGTGGGAGGGAAGGGGAGGGAATGCTGTTAGATAGATAGAGATAAATATTGATTTGGGTGAAGAGAAGGGCAATGGACCAAATATGAGTGACCAATATGGCAGCATTGAGGATGAGAAAGACAGAGAGAGTTACATGGGCAGTACAAACAACAAATATGAACCCCTTTGTAAATACAATACTGAGTTGTCAATGAAAGCAAACATGGGTATAGGGACGGATAGATGGGTGAACAAGCTAAACAATTATGTATGTCTAAATGGAGAGTGTATCCAAGATCATATACAGGGTTGGCAGACAATGGGCCTCTCGAAGAGTATGAAGGGATGGACACTGGGAGGAGGTAACTATGGGGAGAAAGTGGGAGGGGAGCTGCTGCACTGTAAATTTTGGTCAATGACATGAGACAAAGTATATGTGAACTGCTATATGAAAAGTGAATTTACTCTGTAAATCTTCACCCAAATCCTAAAAAAAAAAAAAAAAAAAAAAAAAACCACTCTCACTGATATATTTTAAATAAAACTCCTGCATCTGAAACAAATTCTTGGCCCTGAGAACTTTAAAATCTCCCTAAATTCAGAAGAGAGAGAAAGGTATACAACTACAGTTCATATGACTGCAAGTTATAATCAAAAACCAAACCAAACTCACTGCCCTCTCACATCACATCTGACTCATGGCGACCCCTCCTTGGGTTTCTGAGGCGGTATCACTGCGGAAGTAGATCACTCAATCCTCCTTCCAAGGAGTGGTTGGTGGGTTTGAACCACCAGCCTGCTGGTTAGCAGTCAAATCCCTAGGCACCGGGCTACCAGACCTCCCGCAAGTTATAAAGTAATTGAAAATATTTAAAATTAAAAGTAACATCCTAGAATGGCATTTAAAACACCAAAACCAAAATACTTACCTGCATTTAAAACAATTTTATGTAATCTGTCATTCATTAAAATAAAGGAAATATGTGCTACCATTTTTTTTGATAAGGCAAACACATTCAAAATTGGTGTGAGACTAAACACAATTGGCCACCACGATGTGAAAAACCAAATGCTTTAATGAGGCTATCAAGAACAACAGTTCAATTATTTCATCGGATACATTAATATTGATCCATAATATACAGTGCTATGGACCATACAGAGATTATTGCTGCACCCAACAGCAGATGACTATTATTAACATTACAGTACCAAGCGTCCACAAGAGACAGTCATTTGTAATTTTTTCAAGAAATAGGCTTTTTCTTTTTATACTGTTATCAATATCAACTTTTCCCCAGTGCATTTTTCACAAATATTAAGTGCATTCCTTTGTGCTTTTACTTTATGTCTTTTAACTTCCTATGTATTTTATTTGTTCTTATTGCTTTATTATTTAAAAACAACCGGAAAGAACGGTGTTGTCCTATGCATGACCATGTTGGTCATATGGTTTTTGGCAAAGTCAGGTTTGGTATTTCCATTGCCTTACCCACAGGCAGGTAGACAATTTTGGCATTTTGGACACTCCATATGGAGGGAAGCCCGATCCAAGTCACAATTCTGCACCCTATAGATGGGGGGAGTGGTGTGGATCATTACAAAATGGCAAGCCCAAACCACCTCCTCTTGGCTTAACTAGGCCATAAAACAAATCCACACACTATTTGGCAAAAAAGAAATAAATAAAACCACCCCCGAGGCTGCAGTATTCTCCTGGGCTAGATCACCTGCCACTTCCAGAAATTGTCTTTTAAGAACAAGGGAACAGGGAAGTAGGTGGTGCGAGCTCAGGAGCTTTGAGAGTCAGGTCAGTGGTACAAGATGCCATACTTTCTCTAAACAAAGCTTTCTGTAAGGCTGCTTGACACCGGCTGTAATCCCTTGACCACGAGTTAGTCAACCCTGCTCTGTTTTTGAAAATGTTCAAAATCAGCTATGGAAAACCAACATCATAGCATTGCAACCTTCAGTCTCCGCCCCCAGCCCCCCCATATAAATATGAAGAGAAAAACAGACAATGCTATGATTGTATCAATGAACACTATGGTACAATTAGCTGTTCATGCAGATTTGCATCACTATTCTAATAAAAAAGAGCTATACAATTAAGGGGGCTGAAAGAATGGGAACTTATTTTTCCCTACCCCCTTAAGTAATAAAGCTATAAAAGTGATAGCATCATCAATGTTTCCAAGGATTCTCATTGCCCAATGTGCATGGGAACTATGCAGTTGATTATTTTTGTGTAGCCAGTCATTCATACATCTGACAATCACTCCACCTCTCTGAATACTCCATCACCCATCACCAATTCACATTTGACACTGAAACACTTAAAAAAAAAAAAAAAAAAGAAGAAGAAAACCCTCCTGAATAAGGTTTCCTGATGAATGAAGTTGGCACTCTTTCACTAAAATATATTTAATATTAAAAATATCCAAAGGAAAATTGGAAGCTCTTACATTGTCTACATAGGCACCATGCTACATATTCCTCTTGACTATAGATAGCATCTTGAAACTGTCTCCTACATTACAGTTCAGTCAGTGCTAGCCCCCAAAAGACTACTGCTATATTTAAGGCACTTCATTCTGAATGGATATGCTTTATGCCACTTGCTATTCAATTGTAGGCTGCTACTAAGAAATTCCATTCGACAGCCTGGCTCATAACACCATATGTCATCCATAGAAAACACCTGGGCCTGATAGAATACATGGAACACTACTATTATTGCATAGGACTACACAAGTAGATAATGCACTGAAACTAACTTTACAACATTGCTGCTTGTTAAAACATTGTTATCAAGTAACAGTATTTGCCAATACAGTATTTCTTTAAAAAAAAAAAAAAAAGAAATTCAGCAAGTTTGCTGAAATAAACCCCAATTTAATTGACCATAATGGGCTTACTAAAGCTATAGGTATCAGTCTCCAAGAATATTGCTATTTTTATGACACTAAAAATAAATATGTAAGTTTATTTTCTCCAGAAAGTCTGGTTTTAACCTACTAGTACTACTTCTTAAATGTGTGGAAAAACAGTTCCAAGTGAGACTGCAATATACAAAAGATTCGCAAAGCTCTCCTTAAACACAAAGCCTGGCATAAAAGTCTTCTTTCATGTGTGTACAAAGAATGAGGAAAACCACCAGTGAGTTGCAAAAATATTGAAAACATCTCCATTTAAGATGAATATTCTTACAAACAAATACAAATGTATTGAAAAGAAAATGATAATAAAGAATCTGTACAAACCAGATGAACAGTAAAAATTTAAAAATAAAAATTGTAAAGCCAATTAGAAATGTACCCAGTTTGGTTCTTATCAGAAACAAAAATTAAAAAGAAAAGACAAAAAAAAAAACAACCTAAAACAAACTTTCAGTGCTCCTCAATATTTTACTTTGAGAGGACATTGATTTCCATTTCAGAATAAAACATTTTCTATGAGAAACTGAATCACATTCATTGATGAAGGAAACTGCAACAGAGCACGTAGAGGAAGAGAGGAAGGCTAGCCGCTAGTTTAGAGCCCCGTCCTGCTCCCCTTCCGTTTCAGTTGCGCCTGTGTTTCAGAGAATCCCCATGAAAATGGCTGCACTGTGTTTTTCATCTTTTACAGAATACAGTATTTCTTTAAATAGTTTGCAGTATAAAGACTAAACAATGCTTGAAGGGTACTGTATCTTTAAGGCAGTACCAATGAATCAATACATTTACAAAATGGAAACAGGTTAGTATAGATTTCTTCTTTCTTTTCTCTCTCTCTCTTTTTCTTTTTTTTGGTTGCTTTACATTCTTTTGATTAAACTTTATGTTTAATTCCCAAGGAAGTCACAGGCATCAAATCTCAAACCAAGATTCCCCTGAATAAAAATGGACAGATATTTCTCTGATGCAAAATCCTCTTGCTCAGAAAGCTAAAGTCCGTGGTGAATTCAGTTCACAGATACTGTACACTCATTGTACAATACTTTGGAGGCATTTGTAGTTGTAAAATAGAATATACAAGTCTGTTTCACAAAATTCTAAAAATAAAATATATCCTGGGCTATTGATAAAGCATGAAAAAAAAATTCATATTAAAGAAAAATTATCAAGAGAATCCCATTCGAGTAAATTATTAAATCTACAAATCAAGAGAGGAAGCAGTTTGTGAGAATGCAGACCAGGCAGGATTTGCTAACAAGCGTGCTCGGTTTCCTCCATGCTCATACTACTCCTCCGGCTGCTAGTTTTGGAAGCTCCAGGTGATACCGAGGAAAGAAGTGGATCAGTTACACCAACAGGAGAAAGAGTATCATCCATCAAGATGTCTTCCAGTTTGGATCCCATTTTCGTGGGGACCGTATAGGCTTGGTTGCTCTCAGTCCCGGTTCCAAGGTTGTTATTAAAGGTGATGGTACCATCTGTGAGATCAAGGGTGGTTGTACAAGTTAGGTCTGCGTGATGCTGAAGGGGGTCTTGGTTGCAGTTTTCAAGGACGGGTTCTTGCTTGATGACACGATTCACCAAATCTGGAGAGCAGAGACCCATGGATGGAATAAGGGAAAGTCCATGAGCTCGAGCTTGCATTTCAAGTTCCTAAAATGAAAGTAAAAATCAGACACTTGGAGGGGGAAAAAAGTAATAAACTTAAAGGAAATTTTTTTGCTCTTTTAGATAAATAACCCCTGCATTCCTGAAGTGTGTTACAGATATCCAGCAGCATTGGGGAAGAAAGGCCTGGTGATCTACTTCTTTAAACATCACAACCAAGAAATCCCTGAGTGATTCTATTCTGAAACGTGGGCAGTAGCCATGAGTCAGAACTGACTCTACAGCAACAGGTTTTAATGGTAGCATATAAAATGATTTTTCAGATGGTATATTGACTATGTGTGTTAAAAATAGAGACAAGAACTCATAGATATGAATGTTTACATAACATAAAGTTATGTTAAAAAACATGAAAATAAATCTTAAAAAGTGAGCTGGTTAAAGGCAAATATTAAATAATATAGGTCCATAGTTCCCAAACTTTACTGTGAAGTAGCCAGGGGTGCTGAAATGAAGGGACAAGAGCATTTTCTAATATTTCAAGGGAAACACAATCATACCACTACAAGAACTATGAAGCTCAAGATCGTTCACAGTTTTAGCATTAGATTATGCTACATTCTTTCAATAACATCTTATCATGGCAAAGCCGCATTTTTAAATGTTGCTGTGATAAAAGGAAAGTACTTCATGAAAATCAATGTGGAATTTACAAATGAAGATGTTGGTGTCCAATCTGACGCCAAGGTCTGAGAAGCTGTGCAGGGCTCAACAGACACACACGTCCTGTTAGTAAGTGGGGTTATTTAAAAATAAAATTCAGACACCACTTTTGCTTTCAATTCTGTTTTATTCTTTCCAAATGGCTACTAAAGTGATTGTTGTTGTTGTTGTTGTTATGTGCTGTCGAGTCGGACCTGACTCATAGTGACCTCTCCTTGGGTTGCTGAGAAGGAATCACTACAGAAGTAGATTGCCCAACCTTTCTTCCGAGGAATGGCTGAGGGATTTGAATCATCAGCCTTCTGGTTAGCAGTCAAGTGCCTTAGGCACTATGCTACCAGAGCTCCACTAAAGTGGTTAGGACATACTGAATAAGTTGTTTGGACCTAAAAGAGAAACCATATGTATTTCTTTTGGTCTAGAGGTACAGTCAGAAAAGTTCCTAAGGGTACTGTGGACTAGCCAAGTTTGGGACACTCTGGTGTAGTTAATAATGGCAAACACTGTGGGTCTATTCAAGTGAACAAAGTTTAAGAAGCACCATTTCACCAAGGGAAAGGGGCACCATTTCACTAGGGTAAAGGGAAGTATTTTGTTTTATTCAATAAGAAAGTTCTCATCTGTAAGATAAACAGCTTTTTCCTACATTTTCTTCACATACTTTCCTGAGGGTCAGTGACTTCTCCATCCATCATTCTAAAATGCCTTCCAAGCAAGCTCTTTCCAGTTCCCTTTCTGAGTACCCAAGGACACTTCTAAAATGAACCACCATCACCCCAGTTCACTCCCTGATGAGTGCTCCAATTCTTCACACATTCCATCTCTATGTTTATGATACTATGGAAATAAGAACAATAGAACATAAATTTGAAGCAAGTCATCTTGCCATATTAGAGAGGTAAAAGGACTCTCTAACATGGCATGGCTTCTCAACCTTTGCCCACAAGTCTAGATCTATATATTCCTGAAAAGTCAAGGTCAGCCTATATTAGAGGTGGTGTGACCTGGAGTATCCATCTCTGGAGGCAATACAATAAGAGGTGAGTGCCTGAGAAGTATATTCCGTCACACGATCTGTAGAAACACAAGTCTCTCCAGGCATGATTTTAAAGCCTTTGGGCTATTTAATAAAATAGGAGCTCCACTGATATTAAGGTTTCATGCTCTTTCATCTGTCAAAATTTCTGCATGCATCAGTTAGAGTGAAAACAAAAAGAAGCCCTTAGGTTCAAGCTGAAAACATGGAGTCCTGTAAATGTACAACACCACACTAGTAAGAACAGAGCCACCACACATGCAGTTTGCCTTTTCATAAAGCACAGCTGAATTAAAAGAGGCCAACATCCCACCCTAATTCTCTGTTGTTTAATTAAAAATGTTTATCAGTTGATTAAAGCATTATTTACATTTCTAAATAATATGATATATCACATCTAAGAAACGCTGGCTGATGGCAGAGATTTCCTAATTAATAATGTTTTCTATGAGATGCAGAAGTGTTAATGGCTGCTTCACACTGTCACTGGAAGAAAACCAAGGCATCGTCACTCTGGAATTTCCAGTTTACATACTTCACAATATTCGTATTTCACCAATATACATGTTACAAACTTAAAATAAAACAACACTTCTCTTTCAAAACAGCTATTACGTTTTAATGCTTATATAGAGAAATAATGCATGTGTACAAGCTGCTTTTATAAGTGGATAACTAAGTTCCAGAGATTCAATATCTATGGCTGCTTATTGAAGCCACTACCCATCTGTCAGTCAGTTATACTGTGGTGTTTTTTAATGTGTTGCTGTGAGGCTGGAAGCTATGCCACCATTACTTCAAACACCAGCATGTCACCCATGGTGGGCAGGTTTCAGTGGAGCTTTCACACTAAGACAGATTAGGAAGAAAGGCTTGATGATCTATTTGTAAAAATTAGCCAATGAATACTTTGTGGGTCACAAGAGAATACCGTCTGTTATAGTGCTGGAAGATGAGCTCTTTAAGTTGGAAGGCACTGAGAAAACACAGTGGCTGCAAAAAATGGACTCAAACGTGGCACCAATCATAAAGATGGTGCAGGACCAGGGAACATTCTGTTCCATTACACGTAAGGTTGAAAGAACTCTGGTGGCACCGTGGTTAGAGCTTTGGGCTGCTACCCAAAAGGTCAATGGTTCAAACCCACCAGCTACTTCATGGGAGAAAGATGAGGCAGTCTGGTTTCAAAAAGATTTACAGCCTTGGAAACCCTACGGGGCAGTTCTACTCTGTCATACAGGGTTGCTAAGAATTAGAATCAACTCAATGGCCGTGAGTTGGAGTCGACTTAAAAGCAACTAGCAACAGTAGCAATGTATTAAATGGATATAATAGAAAACAAACAAAAAAAGCCACAAAAAAGGGAGGGATGGAGGAATATTTTCAAGTTACACATAACCTCTAGTTCACTACCCAGAGGAGTCCCTGGGTGATGCAAATGGCAAATGTGTTCAGCTGCTAATTGAAAGGCTGGAGGTTTGAGTCCACCCTGAGGCATCGAAGAATAAACGCTTGGCCATGTATTTCTGAAAACTCAGCCACTGAACACCCTTCAGAGCACAGTTCTACTCTGACATGCACAGGGCTGCCATAAGGTAGAATCAATTTGACGACAAGTGGTTGGTTTCACTATCCAGATGCTAAGATGCAACCCCTAGAGAACTTCTTTCGGCTTATTGACCCCACAGCTGGGGATGATGACAGTGACAGGAGAGACATGACAATCAGCAGTATGAGCAGCGTTGCAGAACATGAAAAAGACTGGAAATCATTATTACGAATGAACCACTCTGCTTAGTAAGTTCAATGTCCAGAACAACGTGATGAGGTCAAATACGTTGAAGTCTAGCATCATACTTTACATTTCTGTTTCTTAAAATCACTCCATAAAGAATTGTATGGGGCTGTATGTCACAATATGGAAAAACATGGGTCCACTGACTGAAGAAAAAGATGTGGCGTCACTAATTTACTAAGATGTTTCATTCTAAAGTCAGCAAGTAAATTAAAATTACCCCTAAAAATTGCCAGTCATCAGTAGAGCCAGCTTTTCTTTCTCTCCTTTAGGACAGTTACAGAGAAACTGTGTCTTTAAATTCAGCATCTGAAGCTGAGCCCCTAAGGGAAGTATTAAGAGTTGATACTAAGGATTCTCCCATCTCCTGCTTACACTGGTAAGGACACTCACTGAATGGAATGATGGATGATTTACACACATATGAAAGTCAGTATTTCTCCTTCCTCTCCTCCTCCAAGAGTGTGTACTTTAATTGAAGTTAAAGATAACATATAAATCTATATATATTCTATATAATATGTAAAGAATATCATTCTACCATCTGTAACTATTTTTGAGGGTTATATCCTTATTACACGATTCTCTTTAGTTGTTGTTGCTAGGTGCCATCAAGTCAGTTCTGATTCATGGCAACCCTGTGTACAACAGAACAAAACACTGCCTGCATCATCGCCACAATTATTGCTTTGTTTGAGCCTAATGCTGCAGCCACTGTCAATCCAGCTTGTTGAAGGTCTCGTCTTTTTTGCTGACATCCCATTTCACCAAGCACGATGTCCTTCTCCAGGGCCTGGTCCCTCTTCATATGTTCAAAGTGTGTGAGATGAAGTCCGGCCATCCTCACTTCTAAGGATCATTCTGGCTGTACTGCTTGCAAGACAGATTTGTTTTTCCTTCTTGTACTCCATGGTATATTCAATGTTCTTTCCCAAAAGCATAATGCAAAGGCATCACACCTTTAGCTGTCCTCAAGTTCCTTATACACATGAGCTTTGGTCATGAACTGTTTCCTCCCCTCCCCTCTTCCAAATATTAAGGCTTCTTTGTATTCAAGTATTGGGATCATGTAAGTCATCTCTCTGTGGCTCCTGATATGCTTCCTTCTCCTATTTTCAAGCCAGTAACATGTAGGAACCACTACCCCTCTGTTATTTGTTGTATTGTACTGGCTTACATGTTGGAAGCTATGCCACCAGTATTTCAAATACCAGCAAGGTCATCCAAGAAAGACAGGTTTCAGTAGAGCTTTAGACTAAGACAGAATAGAACAAAGGTCTGGCAATCTACTCCCAAACGTTAGCCAATGATAATCCTAAGCATCACAGGAGAACACCGTCCGATATAGTGCTGGAAGATTAGCCCCCTAGGCTGGAAGGCATTCACAATACGCAGCAGCCACAACGATGGATTTGAGCTTCATGAAGACCACACATGACCAGGCAATGTCTTGCTCTGTGTTACACAGGGCTGCCACGAGTTGGAGCTGACCTGCCGACAACTAACAACAACAAGTGCACAGTAAACGTTACACAACACATGCCACACACCTGAATCCTGAGCAGTAAATGCCGGTTGGCATGCTCCAGTTTCTTCTGTCGGTTTTCAAGTTCCTTTGCACGCTGCTGTTCTCGTTGCAGCTTTCGAATATAGTCCACAGATGCTTTTAATATGGTTCCCTTGTTCCAGCGCATGTCTCTGAGGAAAAAAGACTTTTTAGGATCTGAGACTTAATGAAAATTTAAAGCATTCAGTTTCTAATTATGTAATAACAATGACAGCATTCAAAATTGCCACCATTCATTGAGTGCCTTGCCAAGTGCCAGATGCTGTCCACCATCTTCTTACTGAATTCAGACAAGCATCCTGTGAAGGAGGGACACGGCACCTGTGCTGAAACAGAGCTGATTTAACTGGCCCAAGCTCAAAGAGCCAGTACAAGGTGGAGTCAGAATTTAAAGTTAGACCTGCTGATTAGGCCAAAGTCAGTACTCTTATACATCATTTTAAATAGTTATATTTTTCTAGGAATATAAATTTTACTCAATCAGAGGTAATAAGCTAAGGCCTACCACTTGATTGTGTGGTGCATAAAAGTGTCAGCAGTGTATTTTATCATGAAGAATCATGAACAGGTAATCTGGCCTCTCTTTATGTCTATTTCTTCATCTATAAAATGGCAACACCACATTTGTGTTAGCCGCCTTGTAGGTATGCCACTAGAATTAAAGGAGATGCTTCACATATATGCGCTGTGAAATATTTAGAACACAACTGAAATAATGGAGCAGGTTGTGTTAAGGGTTCAACATAATTACAATAAATATCTTTAAACAGCATTTACTATGTGCCAACTACTTTTGAAAGTATTTTACTTTTAATCATGACATCATTTTACATTTAATCATGACAATCTCAGTAGGTAATAACAGTATCCCAATTTTACAGATGGGAAAACTAAGGCACAGAGAGGTTAAGTAATTTGCTTAACATCACACTGGGAAGTAGCAGAGCCAAGGAGTCCATGATATCCAGCTCAAGTCCATGCCCTGAACCACTATACTGTTCTTCATCTGCTATGATCGACTCTTCAAAAAAACTGGACTAGGTAGGAATATTCTGATCATTTTTTTAAAATCAGATGTGAAAAATAAAGTACAAGAACTCAAGTATCTTTCTAAGGTCAGACAACTTGTGAGGGACTGGTTTGAAATTCAAACACAGGCATCCTGAATTTGGTGCCTCTCAGCTCATAATCAACTACAGCACTAATGTATTCATGTGTAAGAAAAGTAAGTCACTGAAACTTAGGTAAAAACACTTTAAAAAATTTAGAGCACCTCAGAAAAATAACTATTAAGAATGAATTATAATTATACAAGTTATAGTATAGCACATCTCTGTAGGGCTTTAATTAATCAGAGCCCTTCCACAGACAAATATTCATGACGATAGTAACAATGACAACAATGAAGACAGAAACAATTTAATGTACGCAGAGTCACCTACCCCATAATCTATAGATACTGAAAGCAGACCAGAAGTATCAGGTGGGACATGAAATGGAGTGCCATTAAAACAAGCCAAGTAATTGATCCTCACATGGGTTAGAAGAAGAACAAAACAGAAGTTCTCCCAAGAGAAGCAGAGATACAGCCCCCAGAGGATTCGCTGAGGTTAATCCCTGGGCGTCCAAGCACCAAAGATGGCGACTCAGGGAGGTGTTCTGAGCTACTCCAGGGGGAGCAGAGAACAGACTTAATGTTTGGGCCTCAGTCAAAGGCACAGAAACTTTGGTAGCCACAAAGAAATGTAATAAAAAATACAACAAAAAATAAAACAAACAAACAAATAAAACGGAAGTGTACACAGATCCCCAAGATGCAAAATTAACAAAAGCAGAAATGCCCTGGAGGAAGGGAGGGTATGGTGCTGAGACCCAGGTCAGCCAGACTGTGGCTCTCTAACAGCCCCAAGGCACGCTCCAGAAACCTAGTAGAGAAAACCATCATCCAGATATAGTCCGGTTTATTTTAAAACAATGCCTACAATTAAAGATCAATATCGATTCAGATTATAAACACATAACTATCTTAATACAATGGAGAGAGAAGATATGCAAATACAGGCTTTCACTGCAGCACCATAATTTCATAATATGTTGCTAAAGAGATTCACATGCTACAGTTTAAAAGAATATGCTAAAAAGTGAAAGCTGATAAAGAACAGGAAAATGGGAATTCAATTTCAACTATCATGCAAGACTGACTATAGGAAATGAAGGTCACAGCCCCTAGTAGGATAAATTTGCGCTGCAGAACTGAGAATTTGAACGTTTCTACTTTCAAAATGGCTTTCCTTGAGACCTGGGAAAGCAAAATGTTTCAGATGGAAATGTGCTTGAACATTTATCAAAACCACCTCACAATGGGCAATGGCTTTATTTTATTTTGTCACAAATTCCCTGACAATAATGTGAATAGCAAATTTAATAAGCCTTGCATGGATAATGCTTGATTTCATCTGTACATTTTATTAGGTAGCTAAAAGGTCATATTCAAAGGCTAATTTCATAGAGGGCCTATGGGGGCCATTAAAGTATATACATCCCTTAGCCCTTGACTTTAAATGGGCTAATATCTAATGGATAAAAATTGTGTATTTGTTGTCCTATTTGCTGACACTGCAGGTAACTATAAGGCTGACACAGGTGACATGAGAATATTATCTTTACAATTGTTAGCTCTGAATGTTCACGTCCAAATTAGCTGGCCTATACCTAATACGAGGAGTAAGACTTATTTTTCTCTCAATGGTAAAACAGACAAAGAGGATTAAATTTTCAGAAAAACATTTGACCTTCAACAGAGAAATGTTGGATATTGCTAAACTTGAAGTTTCTAATGTCTGCTCATCAGTGCCTACAGATATTATGCAAGTTGAAGAGCAAATAGACAACAAATCTTGCTTTAATAGCTACTGAACTCTCTGTACTATCTGAACTGCTGAAATAATTTTTTTTTAAGTATCTCACTAGTTATATACTAAGGATTCTCAGATTTCAGAAAACTACCTCCTCATAGTCGAAGATAAACATCTCATGTCCAATAACCCTTTTGTATAATTCAGTGCATTTTCCTCAGAATTTTAGTTCAATGAGACTAAGCAAAAGAAAGATGTAAAAATTATTTAGGAAGCAAAGGATTTGGGGGAAATTCTTTACTCTAGCTTTTTATAACTGAGCATTTTTTGCAACATATACAAAAAAAAAAAAAAACATTAAGGTATGGAAAAATACATGACGCAGATTAACATGCAATTGTACTCACGGATCATTTGACTTGGGAATCAAAGTACCTAGTTCTTTAATGCGGTCATTTATGTTAAATCTTCTCCTTCGTTCAACTTCAAGAAAAGAGAAGAGAAATAGCTATTAGTAACTGCACCACATACGCATTTAGCACATCCCATTAAAGGCATGTTCGTATTAACTCCACTGGGTCAGGTCAACAAAAACTTGAACCTATTTTCCCCCCTTTTGCCCACTTCCTTAGTACCAATGTTAAAGAACTTTTAAAAATGAGTAACCTTTGTATAGAACTTTTTTGTTTACAAAGTCCTTGGATAAAAAATTGTTCCTATGTGATCTTCAAATGGTACAGAAAGTCAAGTTACCAGCCTCAGTTACAAATGACAAAGCAACTTCAGAAATATGAAGGTGAATAGTAGTGAACAGTCAGAACTCAAACCTTGATCCTCTAGACCAGAGGTCAGCAGACTTTTTCTGCAAAAGCCCAGATAGTATTAAAGGCTTTGCAGGCTAAGTGGTAAGACAGAAGAAATTATCTAGGTACTTATAATAATGAGAGAGAAAAGAAATTTCCACAAATTTTTAAATAGAGGCCAATATTTTCAATGCAATTCTATTAATTAAGCATTAGAATTTATGTATGATGTTGAAATTTGAATTTTAAATAATTTTCACATGTTAACACATATTAGTCTTCTGTGGACTTTTCTCCCAACCACTTAAAAACGTCATGTTCTTGGCTCACAGACCATACAAAAAGCCTTTCCCTAGACCAGCGCTGTCCAACAGAAATGTAATGCAACTTATAAATATCATGTTAAATTCTCTAGTAGCTACATTACAAAAAGTAAAGAGGGTAAACAAATTGTAATATTTTATTTAATTCCCTATGGCCAAAATATTATCATTTCAACATGTAATCAATATAAAAATTATGGACAGCTTACACTCTTTTCTTCATATTAAGTTTCAAAACCCAGTACATAAAGAAAACAACAATCCTCACAACTGCACCAATAAGTAACATGATAAATGAAGAAAAGACTGACGCTGCCAAAGATTTCGTTCTACTTGGATCTGCAATAAGCTCATGGAATCAGCAGTCAAAAAGTCAAATGATATACTGCATTGGGCAAATCTGATGCAAAAGACCTCTTTACAATGTTAAAAAGTGAAGATGTCACCTTGAGGGAGGACTAAAGTGTGCCTGACCCAAGTCATGGTATTTTCTATTACCTTATATGCCTATGAAAGTTGGACAATGAATAAGGAAGACTGAAGAAGAATTGATGCCTTTAAATTAATGGTGTTGGTGAAGAACAACAGTGAATATACTATGGATGACCAGAAGAATGAAAAAAACCTGTCTTGGAAGAGGTAGAGCCAGAATGCTCCTCAGAAGGAAGGCTGGCAAGCCTTCATCTCACACATTTTGGATATGTTGTAAGGAGGGACCAGCCCCTGGAAAAGGATATCACATTTGGTAAAGTGGCAGGTCAGCAAAAAAGACCAAGCCTCAAAGAGATAGCTTCACGCAGTGGCTGCCACAATGGGCTCAAACACAGCAATGATAGGATGGTATATGACAGGGCAGCATTTAATTCTATTGTACGTTGGTCACTATGAGTCAGAATTGACTCAATGGTACCTACCAACAAAAACAACATTTTGTACTTACTTATCACAACTTGGACTAGCCAAATTTCAAGTGTTTAACAGACATACAGGGCTAGTGGCTACTACAGTCCCCAAACTTAAATCTGTATTTTTAAATATACCATGCATTCTGATTTACAGCATTTCTATTCTATATATCCAGCTGTAATTCAACTAAGTTATCATCTACTTAGGGAAGGGATCACTGTCATTGAGTTGATTCCAACTCACAGTAACCCTCTTTGGGTTTCTGAGGCAGTAAATCTTTATGGAAGTTGATTGCCTCATCTTCCTTCTGCGAAGCAACTTGTGGGTTTGAACCACCAACCTTCTGGTTAGTAGTCAAATGCCTTAGGCATTGAGCCACCAGAGCTCCTTAGGGAAGGGATAGTAAGGCATAAATCAAAACCAAACCTACTGCCATTGCACTGATGCTGATTCATAGTGACCCTATTAGACAGAGTAAAACTGCCCCATATGGTTCCCAAGCCTGCAAAACTTTATGGAAGCAGACTGCCTCATCTTTCTCCTGTGGAGTAGCTGGTGGGGTCAAATTGCTGATTTGCTTAGCAGCTAAAAGCTTTAACTACTGTGCCACCAGAGCTCCTTTAGTAAGGCATATGAGATAATAAACGTTTGTAATTTACCTAGTGAGTTTTCTTGCTTTAATTTACCTAGTATAGCAAAGAAATTCCAAATAATTTAAGGTCTAATACGTTGGGTTAAGGTTGGTCATATTTTACTTTAAAAGTATCTATAGTTGAATTTATATCTATATTTGATCCACTACTATTCTGTACATATAGAGAAATATTATTTCAAAATTATGCCCGGTTTTGGAGTTTATCTTGACTGAGTGACTATTTCCATGATTAAACCAGTTCTATAGAATGCTAATTCTTATCAATCTTCTATAAATTAGAAATACTAAGTGACTGTCAATGACTCTAAAGAAGGAGTTTTTGGACCACGCATCCTCTAAGCTAACCTCTTCCAAAACTCTGAAGCAAGACATTTTTTTCTTAGTTTTATCAAACTTAATCATAAAAACTCAGAGAATGCTGAAATACATAAAGTAAAAAGTGAATGTTGTTTTTATGTGCCATCGAGTCACACCCAACTCATAGCAACCCCTCCTTGGGTTTCTGAGGCAGTATCACTACGGAAGTAGATTGCCCAGTCTTAAATTTCTTGTTGTTGTTGTTGTTATTTGCCGTCGAGTCGCCCCCGACTCATAGCGACCCCTCCTTGGGTTTCCGAGGCAGTATCACTACGGAAGTAGGATTGCCCAACCTTAAATTTCTTAGATATCCCTTTATGACTACTTTTATGCTCTAACAACATACACACATGTACATGCTTCCCAATACTGAGTACTTACAACTCTTTCTCTTCTATATTTTCTTCCTGATTATCTCATTTAGTCTCATAGTTTCGAATATTACATTAATATTTGCAGCCTGGACATCTTCCTGGAACTTCAAACTCACAATTGAATCCCAGATGTCTCTACATGGAGACTTATGGATAGCCCTAACATGAGCTCCTTGCTTTACCTTACCACTTCACATCTGCTCTACCTACCAAAAAATAAAACAAAACAATTGCCATCACGGTGACTCCAACTCACAGCGACTCTATGTATTAGAGTAGAAACAGGGTTTGAAATGGCTGATTCTTCAGAGCACCAGGTCTTTTTTCCTGAGGCATCTCTGCTCTGGGTGAACTCCAACTCCAACCTCTCAAACTGTACCACACAGGGACTCTGCACCATCCAAAGATTTCTGCTTCAAATGCTTAGGCCAGAGCCTTTGAATTAATGCAGCACCTCCCTTCTCACATCTGACACACAATCAAATATGGCTCTACCTTTACAATGTTTCCAGAATCTGACCACCAACCTCCACTTCCACACCTGGAGAAAGGACACCATCATCTCTTGCCTGGATTATTACAATCCTCAACTGGTATCTTTGCTTTCCCTATGCCTACAACTTCCTACCTCCTTTGGTCTATCTAGAACACAGCAGCAGAGGGATGCTGTAAAAAGTAAGTCAGATAATGTCAAATCTTTGCTCAAAACTCTTCAACAGCTTCCCATTTCATCTAGAGAAAAGCCAAGTCCTTGAGACCTATTACAAGGATCTGGCAGGATCCCACTCCTCTTACCCCATCATCAATTCCTTATCACCCACTCTGGCTGAATTTCCCCGTGCTGCAACCACACTGCTCCCCTTCAGCCCCACTGGCCCTCCACGCTAATCTTCTACCAAGCCCATCGTAGGACTTTACACTATTGTTCTCCCTGCTTGGGACTCTTCCCCCAGATTATCTGATGGCTTGCTTCCTCACCTCCTTAGTTACTCACCTCCATACCCATCCATCACACTCTCTTTTGGCAGCCATTTTCCTGATAGTAACATGTTCTACCATCCAACATCCACACCTTTCATTTATTTATTTATTCTGTTTACCTATTATTGCACTAAAGAACCCTGGTGGCACAGTGGTTAAAGGACTCAGCTGTGAACCAGATGGTAGGTGGTTCAAACCCTCAGCCACTCTGTGGGAGAAAGATGTGGCAGTCTGCTTCCATAGAGATTATAGCCTTGGAAACCCTATGGGGCACTTCTACCCTGTTCTAAGGTCACTGAGTCAGAACGCTGAGTTGAGTCACTACAACTCGACGGTAGCAGGTTTACTTGTTGCATTCCAAGCACCCACATATGCGTGGTACATAATAAGCCCTCAACGAATATTTTTTTAAAATAAAGAATGACACATTTAAAGTGAAGTTACATAGAAAAACTACTTTGTTTCCTTCATCTTTAACTTCTTAGCTTACTGTTGGTATCTTTCTGTTAGTACATTTACATGCACATTTTATTTTTAATTCATTGCCTTCCCTCCCCAATTATATTTTTACCATAAGAGTAATATAAACCAAAATTCACTGCTGAAGTCAGATCTGACTCATAGCGACCCTCCTTGGGTTTCTGAGGTGGTATCACTACAGCAGTAGACTGCCCAATTTTCCTTCCAGGGAGTGGCTGGTGGGTTTGAACCGCCACCCTTCTGGTTAGCAGTCAAAAGCCTTAGGCACTATGCCACCAGAGCTCCTTAAGAGTGATATAAGTGTATTAAAAAAAAAATTCTTTAAAGCATATAAAGAAAATGGTAAACTCTTTATACCACTCAACACCTATATGACCCGGGAAATTGCCACTGATAAAGGTGGCTTGCAGATCTTCTCCCATACACATGAAAACCCATATAAATACACAAAAGCACAACCCTATATAACGTATACTCCATACAACGTGGGATACTATACAAATTAGTTTGCCATTTGCTCTTCTCATTCAAAAGTATATTGCAGCTGTCTAAGTCTAATACATCCACTTCACTCTTCAGAGAAGCCATGATTCCGACTCATAGCAACTCCCACTGGGTTTCTGAGGCTGTATATCTTTACAGAAGTAGATCTCCCCACCCTTCTTCCATGGAGCAACTGGTGGGTTTGAACCACTGACCTTCTGGTTAACAGCCAAATGCCTTATATACTATGCTACCAGAGCTTCTTTTTACCTAAGTCTAACACATTCACTTCACTCTTCATAGGAGCCACTGTGTATCCCTTATATGGATATGCCATCATTTACTCATAAATTCTCTAGTTATCAGGTGCCATGGAGTTAGCCCCAACTCTTAGTGACCTCATGAACATTTAGGCTATTCCAAATTTCTCCCTCATTTTCAGATACACAATAAATACTTGTGCCAGGGCTCATATGCACTTATGCATATGTACTGAATCTATGTCAGAAAACACCATATTAATGTATTTGTTTGTTTTTCTATTCTGTCTGCCCTATCCCTACTGTAAGCTCATAAGGGTAGAGAATCTCTCTGCCTGGTTCACTGAAGAATTAATTAGCCAAATGAATGAATGAATAAATTCCTCTGGAAAGAATGACAAATATTCTTATAGGATAAATTCCTAGAAGAGGAAGAGTTAGGCTCAGGGCAATCTGACTTGGAGTATTAGTTTCCAGTAGTTGGATATGATTTTAAAGATTGTTTTATAGCCCTCAGATTTAGAGCTACTTATGTTTGTACTTTACTGACAACCTTGGACTTGAGAGTTGAGGTGCCTAATTAAAAGATACATATTGTTTTTCACAAGATGCAACTTCATTTTCCACATTTTCATTAAGCAGAGTTTTGGATATTACCTCATTATTATATTTTTATATATTTTAGAAGAAGAAATATTTTAGAGTAAAATTACTTGGAAGCTGGAGGAGATCTTAGAAATTTTTAGTCTAAATCTTTTAGTTAAAATATAAAGAAAGTTTCTCATACCTAAAACACACACTATGAGAAGCAGTATGTGCTAAAAGGAAAAAAACACATACTCTGGGACCAACCAATTCCATTTGTCAGTATCCAACCCAGGAAACCACCACCTGTCTATCAGTTTGTTATACTGTGTGTTGCTATGATGCTATGTGTATGAGGCTGTGTGTTGTCATGATGTGGGAAGCTATGTCACCAGTATCTCAAACACCAGCAGGGTAACCTAATGGTGGATAAGTGTTAGCCAGCAGAGCTTTCAGACTGTGACAGATTAGGAAGAAATGTCTGGGGTATTACTTCTGAAAATTAGCCCACGAAAACCCTATAGATCACAACGGAATGTTGTCTGATACAGTGGTGTAAGATGAGGCTCCTAGAGCTGAAGACACTCAAATACCCAGTGGCTAAGCAGACCACCAATCAAGAAGATGCAGCAGGACCGGTGCTGGGCAACGTCCTGTTCCGCCGTACATGGATTGCCATGAGTTGATGGCAACTAACAATAGCCACCATCGAGAGAAACAAACTCCCCTAGACACAAAGAGGCATGCACAAGAATGTTCACTGTGGCACCAGCAACAGAGGTCTTCAGGACCAACTGCTGAGCTAAAAAAACATGCAGCAACCAAACAGGGACAATATTATACTGTTGTGTTAAAACATATACAAAACAACATTATTTTCTATGTGCAAATGCATGAGTGTATGTTCTAAATAAACAGAAAAGGGTCAGGAAGTGCAACATCAAATTGACAAAACCAATAGTTACCCCTAAGGCTCAGGGAGAATCATCAAAGAAGTCTGGCCTTACTTTATAATGATTTAATTTTTATAAGTAAGAAGTGATTATATATTAACTCATATTCTTAAAAATCAAATTAGGAAAAAGAGGACCTGAGGCCATAAAATGTGAAATACACACACAATTTCCTTCCTCTAAACCCAATTCTTTTTGTATCATGCAGCCTCTCTTGTTTATTAAACTAAACTTTAAACTACCATAGGAAAAACCTTGCCATTTTTGATTGAGATTAAACATGGAAAAACAAAAATGTTAAATGATACAGGAGTTTTTAAAGATTTAATTACTTTGTTGTTATTATTATTTTAAATTAAAAATTAGAGGTAAAGACAGAAGTTTGGGAGGCCATCTCACCCATTCCCTCCACTTCAGATCTTTTTTTTTTTTTTTTTTCTCTTTCAAATCTCACTGGAGAAGTTTATCCCTTTTGTTAATAGGTTCCAGTGTGAGCAAAGCTTATAATTGGGTAGTTGGGGATCAAGTCTACCTTTCACCAAAAAAAGAAAAATAAAAAAAGTAAAACAAAAAAACAACACTATTATAAGTAAAGGATATAAATACTCTTTAGAGCACTGAAAACAAAAAAAAACATAAACAAAACTGAGTTTGATCTAAGGTGAAATCTGGGAGAAAAAATAAATGTTTTTCTGAAACAGAATTTTCTTTCATACAATATACCTATATTATGTAGCTATAGAAATCAATTTCTTTTCAAAACTTCTGGGTAAAGCATTTTGATACATGAGGGAATCTCAACTCCAGTATCAAATGTCATGAATATAAATAAAACCCACTTACTCAAGTTGTGATTGTCCTTTTTTTGCCTCTCTTTAGCCAATGCTCTCGCTTCAGACTCTGTGGGAAAAATACACGCTGTGCACGTGAATGAAGTAATTAGAAATTGGAACTGTTCAAGGCACATGATCAACTAAAATAACAAAACTATAAAATACTAATTACTAAAATTAACTACAAAACATCTCATTTTCTACACATATGAAGGCTTCTATGACTTAAGTCTAAGTCAGTTTTTTTAAAACTTGCATTTTTTCAAAAGCAATACACATAAAATAAATGCAAAAACTTGGCTTTTATGAAATAGTAAAAGATAGTAACAAAGATCCATGGCATGATGTGCACATACTCACACACTAACAGGAATCAAATAACTAGAAGACTCTGAACCTTGACTGTCAATATTCTATTATTGGGAGTCAAACTAAATTTTTCTTTCAGGTAACAGTCCTTTCAAGCAAGTTAGTCTTTGTTTGCTATTATGATAAAGTAAAAAACTGACATGGGGACTGAGTAGAGAGACCCCAAATGACCTCCATGTTCTGTCTGGCGCATGGAAATGAACTCATTGTTTTCAGAACTTGGAGCCAGGTTCTGTCAGAACTTGCCATAATTAAATTATTTAGTGACTCTCAGGAGCAAGCATATGTACTAGTTTTAGTTGAGGAAAAAAAAAAATGGAATAGAGAGTCATTCGGTGGCAACTCTAAGGCACTTGACTGCTAACCAGAAGGCTGGAGGTTCAAACCCACCAGCCACTCCTCAGAAGGAAGGTTGGGCAATCCACTTCTATAGTGATACCACCTCAGAAACCCAAGGGAGGGTGGATATGAGTCAGGGCACTTAACAACAACAATAACTACTACTACTACTACTTGAAAAGTTCTATTTGCATAGATACTGCAAACTGTTATGAGATTTCTGTAATAAAGATTTCTTTTTTTGCCTGACAGAGAGCAAAACAAAACAAAACATCAAGTTGTTTCACTAACACTAGATTCAGGAATCTATTAGCTTCTCTTTACAAGTGGTATCTGAAACATTATCATAATTCAGAATTTTACCTCAAAATAGACAACTTCTTTAGCAAAATTTATAGGCACTGAAACATTACATGGGGTGTGCGTGACTATAAATTATACATATATATTTATTATATGTATATTCAATTTTTTCAATTGTAAAGGTCAATCTAAAACAAGATAATTTTCTTTTCCATATAGAAGCATGACAGGTGACTTAATACATCTTCTACGTCAACAATATCCTAGGTTGTTTTGCTTTGTTTTGTTTCTGAGAAAACATACATAGACATAATTCAAAATTTCACTTCCCACTCAAGTAGTAGGGATTTTATTCTTGTCACTCTGGCAATACTTTATCACTTTCTAATAGAGATGTCACTTGGCAATACTTTGTAAGACTTTTTTGTGGTACTTTTCCTTCCTGGTAGGGTACCTACTTGTTTTTTGGCTTTTGGTAGTCTGCATTCATTAATAATTACTCAATTATATTCTTAACCCAAATAAATTATTTTTAAAAAATGTATTTTTCCCACTAAAATTTTCTTAAGTATTATTTTAAACACATCTTGAACAGAATTGGAATTTTAAGACTGGGCAATCTACTTCCATAAAAACTTACCACCTTGGAAACCCAATGGGAGTCACTGTGAGTCAGAATAGACTGATGGAAGTTTTTTGTTTTTTTTTTAATTCCCTGTGCACCCAATTCTGTATGATGCAAGAACCCCTTGCCCCTGAAAAATTGGGGGAGGGAGCATAAAATTCAGCATGTAGAAAGCCCGTTCTCATATAGTTTCTGTCATTTTTTGGGGGCTCAATTCCTTCCCTAAAGTGCTAAACAAAATGGCAAAATAAGTAATTTCACACTTGCCATTATTTTCCTGTGTGTAATAAATCCTTTGCACATGATATAGCAAAAACTAGCATCAGGCTTTTGAAGATGGAAGAAACGTATTCTTATCTTCCCCCAACTGTGGGCTCAAATGTATATCAAAGGAAATTTCAAATAGGGTTCTCAAACTCAAATGCCCTCTTGGCAAGTAACAATAAATACCAGTCCAGGCAGAGACATTCCATAGTTGAAGAATGTTTTTGTGCCCCCACCCGAGAAGGGACAGCAGCCTTAGACACAATGGTTGTTGCCAAGGAGCAATGATAGCCCAAGAGCCCCAGTATCTCAAGAAATACTGGAAAACAGGATTTTCAAGTACAAGTTCTCCATTTAAAAATACTGCTCAATTTTTAAACCACTCTTCAGAACTTACAACATACGTCTGTGAGTTGGACAGAGTTGGGAAGGTCTTGTTTTGAGACCTTTGCCTAATTAGAATGTTGAGAGAAAAGCCACAGCAAGAGGCACATCTGCTGGGTATTTACCTGTGAGCTCCCTTTTTATGTTAGGAAGGTTGGCTGGACAGGAGTTGCTGATGGTCAGGTTTGGAGGTGGTAAGCCTTGGTTACCGTAAAGGTCAATCAAATTACCAGAGACAGGTAACTAGACAGAGAAAAACAATAACAGAAATGAATTGTTAAATAATCCCTAAGTGACTCAGAAAAAAAAAAAAAAAAAAAAAACCCACATATTATTGAAGACTTTATTTAAGGGAAATTATTTCATGTAAAAAGTCATTTTTTAAAATAGGAAAACAAGATATATTTACATGTGATTTATTCTCAGAAATGAAAAGTAGAGGTATATGGTCTTCTTAACTAATTCCCTTGGGAGAAGAAAGAAGGCGGTGTCTCATACCCATAAAATGGTTACAGTAGCTGGCTTATGAGTTTACTCTGAACATGAAGATAGTAGATAGCATGAACACACTATCTAGCATATATAGTAGCATCTAGGAGATAGTCAATGCTGTTTTCAGTTGCTGTCAAGTAGATTCCAACTCATGGTGAACCTCAGTGCATACAGCAGAGCTGCAATCTATCAGGACGGCAAAGTGACTCTTAGGAAGCAGATCACCAGACCTTATTGCCAAGGCATCTCTGGGTGGGTCCGATCGCCAGCTTTTCGGTCAGTAGTCTATCGTTTAACCATTTGTGCTATCTAGGGATTCCTTAGGTGTTCAATAGAAGTTGGCTATGATCTGGAGGGACCAGACCATGGAGAAGGACATCATGCTTGGTAAAGTAGAGAGAGGGTCAGTGAAAGGAGGAAGATACTCAATGAGATGGACTGACACAGTGGCTGCAACAATGGGCTCAAACATGGCAACAATTGTGAGGACGGCGGAGGACTGAGCAGCGTTTTGTTCCATTGTACACAGACTGCTGTGAGTCAGAATCAATGCAACAACACCAACATTAAAAAACAGGATTCTCTATGGGATGACCTTTTCAAACAAATCAGGTTTTTCACCAAAGTCAATTTCCTTCCTTTCTTCTCTCCTCTTTCTTTCTTCTTCTTCTTCTTTTTTTTTTTTTAGAAGGAAAAGCAATTAAAAATGTTTCCTTACTGGAAAACAAATCATTTCCTCATTGAAAAATAAAACTATTTTCTTGAAACTGAAGTATTTCATAAAGCCACAAGAGGGAGCCTGCTGACTTCAATAAAAATCTCTCTCTCTCTCTCTCTCTCTCTCTCTCTCACACACACACACACACACACACACACACAACTATCCCAAGCTAGCTTAACAAATGTATTCTCTAGGTCTGAACTTAATATTTTAAATTAATGCATTTTTTTCTCTCTATAGCTTTCTTTTTTTTTTTTTGTATATATATATATATATATGTTCCTTTTAAATAGTCCATTGAAGCAGTTTCACACTCTAATTTTTGTAGACATAAAAGGTCCAAGACATCTTCTCTACATCTAAGAAAAGTAAACTTAGACAGCATTTATGTGTGACTAAAATGTACAATGCCCGAGAGGGATCTACTGAAGGTTACTACCACATTTGTCGTTATTGTTGTTAGTTGCTACAAAGTCGATTCTGGCTCTTGGTGAAACCATGTGTGCAGAGTTGAACCGCTCCATAGAGTTTCAAGGCTGTGACCTTTTGGAAGCAGACTGCCAGGCTTGTCTTCTGGGTGGGTTCAAACCTTACAGCTAGTAGTCAAGTACTTAAATTTGTCTGTGTACTGCAATACAGCACCTTTCATTTCTCAAAGGGCCTCAAATATACGGGGGGAAATATACCATGAAATAAAGGTGGACACAAATGTGTTTCCCTTCACTGGCAACCATCAGCCATCTATTACTATGATGACTTTTATATAAATGCCTATGAACTAAGCCCTTTGTTACAGAGCAAGCGAGAACAAGAGAGCCAGAGAGAGAGAGAGAGAGAGAGAGAGAATCGAGAGACTGAGAGACTTTCTGGCTAAATTAATATTTGCTCTTACATGATTTTGGGGAAGTGGGTATGGAAGGACAGACAAATCAGCAGAGTATACCAGTCTGACCCCCAAACACACATAAACATACATTGTGGTCATTTTAAATGCCCTTTAGTCATCCTTGAAGGCCTCTAGGTAAGGAAATGATAAAAAGTGACTTTGATTATTAGCAATCATTTCACTAAGTGGTTTTATTTGAAATAAGTCACCTTCTCAAGGTCAGTCTTGCCCTGTGTATGTTCAGTTGTATTCCTGTCCAACTTAACACAAAGTAAAAGGCAGGCAAATGTTTCAAATAGCACGGTAAAGAGCCAGACAGGCAAAACTGGGACATCTGGTAAAGCCCTCTCAAGTTCAAAGCTTTATTCTCTTATCTTTCTGGAGTTGCAGGTTTTAGGAATTCTGGGTATTGATGAAGGAACTCTGGTGGTACAGTGGTTAAGGCTTTTAGCTGCTAACCAAGTTTGGTAGTTCAAACCCACCAGCCACTCCATAGGAGAAAGATGAAGCAATCTGCTCCCATAAAGTTTTGGAAACCCTGTGGGGGCTGCTATGACTAAAACCGACTCAATGGCAGCAAGTCTGGTTTGGGTATTGAGGAACTAAGACTATGACTTAAAAATTCAATGCAATTATTCCTATAGCTCTAGAAAGGCAAATCATATATTATGTTTTCATAAGCAAATTCTATGTAAAGGACACTATTGTGTTATGATCTTTGTTCGGGGTAAATCTAACAGGCAAGTAACTTACAAACTTCTAGGTCATTCAGTGGATCTACACTGGATATATGTGTGATTATAAGCTTGTCCAAGACAGGAACATATTCTAAAGAAAGCTATTATGTGTACCTATACTTACTGAATTTAGAATCAGAGAGAGAGAGAAACAGAGAAACACAGGGGAAAAGAATCAGAAACTGGGAATGAGACAGAGATAAAGACACAAGGGGGAGGTGGGGATATCGGAAGGGAGACACACACATACACGGGAGGAGAGAGATGAAGAGACAGAAGGGGAGAGATGAGGGCAGACTCAGAGAGAAATTAAGTGGGAAGGAGTTAACTGCAGAGAGAAGGAGCCTGGTAGCACAATGGTTAAGTGCTAGGCAGTTCTACTCTCTCCTATGTGGTTGATATGAGTTGGAACTGCCTTTTGGGCAAGGGATTTGTTTTGTTTTGCTTTGTTTTTAACTGCAGAGAGGATCACTGTGATTGGCATGGATATTGACAGCAGAGCTCACAAATAAGGGAGATGCATTAAAATCTTTATAACAAGATGCCTCATTGGGCACTCAGCTGAAGTCAGATATCATTACTTCCAATTGGAAAAGCAGCTTAGAGCCCTCTGTTTACTTCTCTAAAAGATTTCCTGCTTTGGTTACTGATTGGGAGTGGGCAGCATAGAGCCCACAAGAGTATTTTTACAGAGAAAACTTTATTTTGCAGGTACTTACTCTGGGCCAGGCACAGAACTAAAAAGGCATTTTATGTATTACCTTACAATTTTACAAAAAGAAAAGTTAACATCTTTTGCAATGTCTGTGGGAGGCTCATGCTCTGTATTATCAGCAGTGTTAGGCGAAGTATCAATGTGCTAGGAGTCCTAGAGTGACACAAATGGTTAAGGCTGGGCTACTACCCAAAAGGCTGGTGGTTCAAATATAGCCAGCGGCACCATGGAAGGAAGGCCTGGAGATCTTCTGAAAGATCACAGCCACTGAAAACCCTATTCTACACACAAAGGGACCCTATGAGACAGAAGTTAGCAGCAACTGGTTTTGTGTTTTGCTTTTATCAACGTGCCAAATGAGAAATGGCAACTTTCAATTCATTCCCAACCAGACCTAAGAAAATAAAAATCCATTTGCTCACTTGTCAAATGTGGATACTCCAATCCAAAAATTAATAGTACAGTGATTTACAGCCCGGTCTTAGGAATTAGAGACCTGTGTTAAAATCCTGTCTCTGTTATTGGCCTGCTGTGTAATATCAAGCAAATTTCCTAAACTCTCTGAGCTTTGATGTCCCCAAATGAAAAGTGACCACCATATCATCTACCTCACACAGGGTTTTCTAAGAATTAAAACTAATTTCTAAAATTAAAGGAGATAAGTAGGTAAACACATCAATTGCTATTTAATTGATCAGTAAGTGATAGCTGCTATTATTAGTGATGCTATTATTTTCTAGAAAGTTGAGAGGAGATGGACACTACATTGTATTCCCACTCCATAGTTTGACAGTAGAGTTAATTTGCACTCCGATCAACAACACTACGTGCCATGTTAATTACCAAGTATCACGGCTGCATCGCAGACCTGTGCAAACCTACGCACAGCAAGGAAGGAATCTGAAGGGCTACAGAGATCACTCATTCTCCTAAATCAGTGGGTCTCTACTGGAGAGTGATTTTTCCCCCTCCCTCAGGGAGCATTTGTCTTGGTTATCACAACTAGTGTGTGAAGGGGGTGCTACTGGCATCTAGTAGGTAGAGGCCAGGGATGCTGCTAACATTCTGCAATGTACAGGAAAGCCCAACAACAAAGAATCACCCAGCCCCAAACATCCAAAGTATTGGGGTTGAGAAACCCTGTCCTAGTAGCAGCTGTGTTCTTTGTATCAATGGCTGTTACTTGTTGAAGCTACTAAATGGACAGCTGATTAAAATAATATAGCTTTCTAATTATAAATCAGTACACATGTTAAGTGTTAGTATACAAATTAAGAAAACATTCTGTGGTTCCCCTTCTGGGTTGGGGTAGAAAAAAACACACAAAACAAACCAAAATAATGTCTTTGGGGCTAAAGGAAAGGAAGAAATATCTGCTGTTAACGTGGATGCTTTGCTTCCTTCCTGGCTTTTTTATCCAGCACATTAACCTGATGGACAAGATTCCATGGATGCTTCCAGAATGCAAGCTGGACAATGGCCTGATGAAAGCCAATCTAACTGGCACAAATAAAGAAAAGGTAGACACTTCTTGGGTCTGGGCCCTGAACTTGGTCTGAATTGCGTTCTTCAATGTTCTGCTCCACCAAAATGAATATTTTCCCAAGTAAATGATAACTGTAAAATGTTATTTTTTTTTTTCTCTCTGGATGGTCCCCTTCACTGAGTATCAATTGAGCACTGTTTCTACGAGTAAACTGGGACTTTTATGCATTGTCTGTGAGGGTACAAGAAGGCCCTTGTGCTCTCAGAATAGTTATTTCTAGACTTCAATTCCCTTAGGATAGTTTCCTCTCTAAGTGTTCCTTCCACTTTTTTTTAAGTAGTTAACTTGAAAGAAAGTATTTCAAAGAATCAAATGAAATGGGGAAAAAAATGACTAATATTAAGAACATTAAGTTTAAAGTTTACTGTGGGAAAAAAATTAAAATGTTAATAAGGTGTATTAGCTTTGGTATTTAATTTTGACAAATAAAACTTAAGTTTATCAAGAATAATAGCTAGAAAACCACAGTGAGACAGCACTTCACATCCACTAGGATGGTTAAGGAACCCTTGAGCTGTACAAACAGTTAACATTCTCAGCTGCTAACTGAAAGGCTGGAGGATCAAGTCCAGCCACAGACACCTCAGAAGAAAGGCCTGGCAATCTACTTCCAAAAAATCAGCCACTGTAACTCGATAAAGCAACAACAGCAACTCAAAAGGTTAAATGAGAAGCTTAGGGGGCAGTGGGTTTTTGTTGATGATGGTGAAAAAATTTGGGAAAGGATACTGAGAAAGATGGTACAACCTGAAGAACGTAACCCATGTCACAGATTTGTACGAGTAGAAATTGTTGAATTTATGTTTTGCTGTGTATCTTTGTCAAAAACAAAATTATAAAAAAAGAATAGCTAGTACCTAACATTTACTGAGAGTTTATCAGAGCAGAGCTCCTGTTCTATGTGCTTTTGGTGGATCAGCTATTGTAATCCTCACATTAACCCTATTGTACTCACTGGCTCGAGTTGATTCGACTCATAGCAACCCCTCCTTGGGTTTCCAAGGCCGTATCTCTACAGAAGTAGATTGCCCAACCTTCCTTCTGAGGTGTGGCTGATGGGTTTGAACCGACAGCCTTCTGGTTAGCAGTCAGATGCCTTAAGTAGATGCTATTATTATTCCCACTTTACAGATGAAGAAACTGAGACAGACAGGTCAAATAACCCACTCAACATTATGCATCAAATTCAGATATCTGGTGCAGAGTCTGTGATCCTATCCATTAGGCTATACTGTCTTTCTCTTAAGAGTGAAATGCTGAAGAGTCCTGTCCAGAGAGGAATCTGATGGGTTCATGCTTGGTCTTTTCTGGAGTGGAAACAGAGGAGAGAGATGGATGCCAGAACAAAATTAGTGACTTCTGAGGATGGCTATAGGCTACTCCTCTCCAGGGCGGGACTTCATTCAACTCTGCCAACGGGATCTTTACTATCTGGGAATTCTCCTGAGATGGCCTCTCTGCTCCTGCATCATCCTTCTCCACTTAAAGGCTAAACTGGTCTCCCCTTTCAGATTAGAAAATCCCATGAGAACAGGAAGCATTCTTACTCATCTCAGAACCCCTCATCTCTGAAACCCTCACCAAGTGCCGGTCACATATTAGGTATTTAACAAATGCTATATCAATCTTAAAAATAATTAAGGAACATTCAGATAATGAAGGAATGTGACAGTGACTCTAATGCAGATGGTCTGAGGAAATAAGAGGATGAAGTTGAAAGGAGAGAAGCATGCGGGGTCATAACAACTGTCTTCATAAGGGCTGTCATGAGGAAACGGTCTCCATGAAGCAGAACTGAGAGTCATCCCTGGAGCTTACAGACAAAATTACTGTGAAGAATATCTTGATTATCAAGTGTGACGTTATTCGAATATAAGGAGATCTGGTAGTGCAGTAGTTAAAGTTTTTCACTACTAATCAAAGGTCAGTTGTTTGAACCTACCAGTCACTTGCCTGGAGAAAGATGAGGCCATCTGCTTCTTGAAGATTTACAGCCTTGAAACCATACAGGGCAGTTCTACTCTACTCATCCTATAGGGTCACTATGAATAACAATCAACTCGCTGGCAGTGGGTTTGGTTGTTGTTTTATTCTAACATAGATTTTGACATATTATAGGTGCTCCACGAATAGCAACTGAATAAACAAATGCTATCAAAATTACCTGATATTACACTCAATAAATTACACTTGTTGTTGTTGTTATATGCTGTCGAGTCGGCCCCGACTCACAGCTACCCCTCCTTGGGTTTCCGAGGCAGTATCACTACGGAAGTAGGATTGCCCAACCTTTCTTCCGAGGAGTGGCCGGTGGGTTTGAACCGCCAGCCTTCTGGTTAGCAGTCAAGTGCCTTAGGCACTATGCTACCAGAGCTCCTAAATTACACTTAGGAATTCAAATAATTTTATTGAGTATAAAATGTTTCCAATGATAAATGCTACATGTACCTTCTCAAGTGAGATGACTGTGTGAGGGAGGTCCAATTATCAGTACTGTTTTACAGGTGGGGAAATGCAGGGCTTCAAGAAGCCAAGTAACATGCATGGTCACAGAGTACACAGCAGACTGAGGATTTGAACCCAGGTCTGACAGTATGTCTTCAGCTCCTAATTGATGTGTTTTATTGTTTCCCTACTATATTAATAAGGAGTCTGGTGGTCTGGTGGTGCAGTGGCTAACTGTTCGGCTACTACCCGAAAGGTCAGGGGTTTACCAGCCGCTCCATGAAAGAAAAACCCTTTGATCTGCTCTCATAAATACTACAGCCTAGGAAACTTTATGAGGCAGTTCTACTCTGTCACATTGGCTCACTATGAGTCAAAATCGATTCAGTGGCACACAACAACAACAGGGCATTAATGCCCACCCTTCATTGGAGGTATTCAAGAAGCCGGATGACGAATATTTTTATGGGGGTTATGGAGGACATACAAGAAGAGGTCAATGCCTTGAGGACTGGATTGGATCAGATTACTTCTGAGGACCTTACTTGTGCAAAATGAAAAATAAAAAAAAAAAAGCAATGACTTTACAAAACCATGTCCACTCTATAATCCTCTTGAGTGTGTGCAGGTAGTTATTTGGTACCAATCCAAATGTGTGCAGGTAGTTAAAATGACCACTCTCAAAGCAAAGTTCTTTTGAGAGGACTAGGCCACTGATAATTAATGCTGCTGGGACAGTGAACGCCTTGTAAATATATCCATTTCTTTGGGTCTATTTACAGATTCCCTAGTGCAAGCTTCCCCCAGAGTTTTGCTCATGTTCATCCTAGGATTTTGACTGCTGACAAGTGTAGTCAGTCTCATGGGATGCACAGAGTTGGAAGCAGAGGGGTTCCAAGGAAGCCAACCAAGGGCTCAAAGTAAGTGAGGAAGGCTTGGCATGGAAGCATTTTTCAGAACGGCAGAACATGTGGTTCTTTCTAAATCAGAGGCTGAGTTTAAATGGGTGGAAAGGAGACAAAAGCTAAAGATCCCAGAATAAGTTTTGCCCTTTCAAGGGCAGTGCTCATCCTTCATGACTACAAGTAATGAACTTAAAGAATTGAGCAAAGACAGGGAAAAAGAAAAAAAAAAAGGAAGGGGCTAATGATAAAAACTCAATTTACAAAGGATAATCATATAAGTTAAACACTATCTTGTTCTCTGGCCAAGGAAATTTATAATTGGATGTTGTTCTTTAAACACTGGTTATTAAAGAATATGGTGTCTCAAGGCATTGCTCTCATAGGAAAGAATAGAAGTAGACTAAGCATTCCAAGACTTACTGGGAAGTCCTGGCTCTGATAATGTGATCTTGGGCAACACTATCTATCTTTCGTAATTATAAAGCTGCAGATGACAAGACCAGCCCACCCTGGATCAAAGGATTATTATAAGGACCATAGTAAGAAAGATTTTGGTAGAACAGTTACATGCCACACAAATATAAAGATTCGAGCAAAATAAACAATACAGGTTAAGGCTCCAAAGTATACAAAGAAATGAGTAGTAACATACAAGAACAAAACTTACCTGGTTTATTAAATAAAATTGGAATAAAACTGAAGAAGGATAACCTCAGTTTCTGTCCATCACCCGTGATAAACTGCATTAATTTTTTTCAGGCCAACTAGAATACCACTGTCAACAGTATAATCAATAGCATTTCCATGGTTGCAGTGCACTAAATTGACCATTAGATGTCAGGGGAAATTGGTGGGCCCACCAGCCACTCCTTGGAAGGAAGATTGGGCAATCCTACTTCCGTAGTGATACTGCCTCGGAAACCCAAGGAGGGGTCGCTATGAGTCGGGGCCGACTCGACGGCAAATAACAAACAAAAACAAGGTTCTCTGAAAGTGGACTGGGATTCCAGGGAACATAAACCTTTTAAAGGAGTTCACTGACACACATTCATGTGAGAGTCTTAACTTCTGGTGTCAAAGTCACTTATTTGTATTCCTGAGATGATGCTCCATTTTATTAATAATAAATTCCTCACTGAATCAGTAGGAAAGTTAAATTACAAGCTGAGGAAAAGTGGGAGAACATTGGAATTAAGCAAAAAAGAAAGAAAGCCATCAATACCGTATTTGCCATTTGCAAGGCAGGATCCATCAAGCCAAGGATTTCTTCATTATAACTTGATTCTAGGCTAATGATGTCATCTATTACATCATCCATCTGTAAAAGAAAAAGGCAATGAAAGTAAGCAAAAATTGTGTAAAGTAACCCAGACAGAAGCGCAGGGTCCCTTTTTACTCAAAGCAATAATGCCCTTCAGTTAAGATTCTAAGAAGTAGCTTTCCCCTTCCCCAAAAAACAAGAATATTTTTGAAGATCCTTAACACAAGTGAGTGATGAGAATGGCATTTACAGCCAGCTTTCAGTGAGTGCCTAATAGGTGCCAGGCACTGGGCTCAGGGTTTTTCATGAGTAAAGTTATTTACCCTGACAATGAGCCTACCAGAGTAGGCACTACTATTACACAATTTTCTAGATGAGATAAATGCTATGCCAACAGATAAAGCACCCTGCCCAAACTAACCCATTACAAGAAGGGTCGGAGCTACCATTTGAACGCATTCTCTCAACTAGTATGCTAAACTACCTCCCTACACAGAAAAGATGAAGTAGGAAATTGTTTATCTTGAATGTTAGCTGCTATTTCCTTTTTCTCTCTAAAGACTGTCCCACCATCTGCTTCCTATGTGTCCTTGGAGTAGAGAAATGCAGTTGGTAATTCAGCCCTTTGCTCCCATGGGAGTGTGTGGGGCACTGTGGCTCCCAGGCCACTGGCTAGCCCTGCATAGATGTCACAGTGACTTGTAAAATAAGCTTCTCCTTGTACAGCTGCCAGTGTACTGGCATAATCTCCAAGGAGTATACCAGGACTAGGTTATCATTACAGTTGTGGGGTTGACATTCCCACTAGATCAATTTTATTCCTGAAGTACCAAAACATCAGTTATGATAATAAACAATGGTGATTACATGTGCATTGCAGCAGTAGCAAAGACAAGACTGTGAAAACATTTCTTTGTAAACACTTAACTTAGCTGAGATGGTGTGTGTGTGTGTGTGTGTGTGCACATGCTTAGGTCTTAATAATGTTTCGTAAGCAAACAGTGACATTTCAGAACTCAGAAGGACACACCTCTGTGTCTTCTTGCCAGCTCCACTAAAGAGGACAGGCACTGAAGTCATGGGGAAATGGCTGGAATCCTGGCTCTCCCAGTTTCTAAATTAAAGACAAAGTATCTAATCTTCAAGGACCTGAGTGGTGGGGGTCAGTCAATACTTACTGCCTTATTAGATTCCTGTGAGTATTTCAGGATACACTGCGTGAAGTGCTCACAGTGCACCAATGCAGTAAACACCCAATAAATGGTATGTTTAAGTTACCCCTCAGAACTAGAGGCCAGCTGTGAATCACTGCTACCAGCACTGTTTATTACTTTCCATTTCTAGGTACATTGGTTTTACTTGTTTTTAAGAGGAAATAATTTTCTAATTGAGTGGACAACAGGCAAATGGGCCAGGGGACTTGTAAACAACCTTTCATTTTCAAGTATTAATTTTGTTTTTAGGGGAATAAAATTGGTGTGACAGAATCTTTAAAATATTTTCTTTTTTCTCTTATGGTAAAAGTAATGTAAGTTGATAAGAAATACAGACAAGCAAGACAAAAATATTTTTGTTGCTTATCATTTTTCTCAAATGCACACACACACATACACATTTACTATATAAATAATTAGTAAATGGATATAGAATATATATCCATTAAAAGGGCAATTATAAGAGAATCTTTAATGACTTGTGAAAATGTCCAGGAAATATTAAATTTAAAAACATTTCAAAATACATGCTCCATGAGATATCATTTTGTAAAACAATATACACATCATAGATATGCACATCTTGGTTTTAACAAAATTCTAGGAAATTTGCTGCCTTAAAATTTGCATAGCACACATGAATGGCAGTATTTAATGAAGTCCAGCATTTTGTCATTTATTTATTAAAATGTATGTATTTGATGCATTTTTTAATGACTTATCCCAACTTAGGGGAAAACAAATGCATCTTAAGTTTAATTTTCCTAGTAATTATTTAATCATGAGACGCTATGAAGAAAACGACCATGTTCACAGCCTCCTCTACTAAAAAAGAAATCAATGGGGGAAAAGAAAAGAAAAGAAAAAAAAAAAACTCCTTAAGTCATCAGGAAGGTGTGATCAGCAACAAATATAGATTCTCATTATAAAGTGTTACATCCTTGGGCTGCCAAGTCATTTAATACCTGCATGCAAGACGCTCGGGAATGCGTGTTCATACTCGGGCACTCACTCTCTGCCCTGGTTTGCTCTTCAAACTTATAAAATCCCTGCAAAGACACAAGCCAAACAAACAAAAAAAAAAACCCCATGATTTGGACTTGCAAGTTACTTCTCAATGACTGTTCACAAGAGGCCGATAGCACAGCAACAAGCTGAACTAAGCTTTCAAACAAAGTGGAATCTGACTGAGAGAAGACATAATGAATGAAGAACTTCCATCAAATCATCTTGAAAAAAATGACAAACGTGGACAGGGTAAAATATGGTGGTTGGTTTTGACATAGGGGAAAAGAGTCAGACTAGAAATGAAAATCAACCAAACTTTACAAGTCACCTCTGAAACCACAGATATTTCAGAGTACATAAAATTCTGTTAAAAAGAGATGCATCATCTCATAATTTGGAAATAACAGGTATTAAATCATGAGTCTTCTCCAAGGTATTTTTACGTTCCAAATTTTGATACAGCAATTAGCTTAAAGGTGTGTTTGCATCTCATCTCCAATCCAGCCATTAAAAAAAAAGCAGATTCAACAGGGAGTGGCAATTTTATCATGAAAATGAATGAAACCTTTGCATTTCTGTTAAATTCTCATCTGCTATATTATCCAAATCCATCCATGCACATCCTGTGTGTTTTTTGGGTTTTATTTTGCCCCACAACTCAGGGAGAAATAAAAATAATATTCCAGACATTCACAACAAGCGGAACTTCTAACCGCCTGCCCCACACCTTTTCTATTTTTGCTTTTCCTTTTCCACCTTCCCTTCTCCTCTCTCTGCATTTTCACTGCTTTGTAAACTGAAAGGCATTTCTGAAGAGAAGACAGCATTCAGCTAATGAAGGAGAAACTAGTTGAGAGAGAAAGCGTCCTTGCCTCCAAGTTCCACTAGGAATGGGCCAGGTTTCCCTCTTATACCATGAACTCGATAACCCAGGGACGGCGATAAGAGGTTGAGGGTGGCCACGCTGTCAAATCTGAGACAAAGACCAGTAAAAGTGGCCATGTATGTCAACTATAGAGTCCATGGTTAAATGCGGAATGATATCCAACAGACAGTCATTTAGTTTTAAGAAAACAGGAGAGGAGAGGAGACATGAATTACCTCTTTTTCACAGTTGGAGTTAAGTGTAAGCATAGCCATGGGGCTGTTGGGTGCGCTGCTCCCGGGCACAGGTGGCATGACATGATCGCCAGGCTGGTTTGGACATGGCAAGCTCAGGACTTGGTTGGCATGTTTATTTGCTAAAGTGGTAGAAAGGTACTGCTTTACCTGCTGCCTTTGGGCTTGCTGTATGTGGTACTTGGTGGGGTTTTCAAGGTGGGTCTGCACCTGAACACAGCCACAGAAAGAAGAGAGACAGGGTTGTTATTTTATTTATTTATTTTTTTAGTTTCCTGCAGCTCTCTACAGGTACAAACATGAGAATGACCAATCCACCATCAAAATAAATTAGTAAGTAATAAATTAGTTAATGTACCAGGTACCATGCCTGGATAGATTTTGATATTACTGAAGTTTAAAGTTCACCTCTCAGGATTTGTCATGATACTCTGCCATTTTTTTTTTCCTGCTACTTAACGGCATATCTCTTCAAAATTCTGTGCCCTTCTTCCCATGTCTAGTAATCAAAAGTCTGCAACTATATGTAGCCAGAAATTCCCCAAACACACCTGAAAGGGTTTATTAAGATCAAAACAAGAAAAGGGAACATAACTCAATTTATTTCACTTTCTTTGGTAAAAAGCATAATTTTCTATTAAAAAACAAAAACAAAAAAACTCCTTAAGAACCAACTGTAAAACGGCTGTCAAAAATAACAGAAACATTCTGATGGTAAAATCACCTAGCTGTGGATTAACTCTTCTCACTTTCATTTGGTTTAATTTGGTTGAATGATTATTCAACATTAAGAGAAAACTCAATGTAAAAAGCAATTCCACCCTAAGCAGTTTCTTTCAAACACATAACCCTTACACGTACGTATTTTAAAAGGTATGATTAACAAACCACCAGGATATTTGTCACCCTTGCTTGAAAACATGATTACAGAATTAGAAATGCTTCTTTTTTCAAATCAAAGATACTGTTTAAAGCTACTTTTTTCTTAATTAAATTTTATGAGCTATTAATAGCAGCTGATAGAACACTGCAACACACTGGGGAAAAAAGGAAAACCATATTAATATTTACTTTGTTCCAAACTACATTGAATTTACTTCTCAAAGCATCAAACAATAAACAGCATTAAAATTATACACTTGTACTTATTGAAAACAATGTATCTATTCCAAACATATATGAAAGTGATGTCCTCAATTTACTGCATTGTTTCAGAGACTGAATATAAATAAAGCTCACCTGATAGTGATTATATTCTAGCATTTCCAGCATCACAACGTCTTAGGTGGCCCAATCCAGCAAGAAACGGTAGACAACTCACTCCCTCTACTTTCCCTAATTCCAATTCAAAGACTGAGTGGCATAGAAAAGGCACTATAAACAAGGTATCCCGAGATACCACCGGAAACTTTATCACAGCAGCCCTGCTTATAATAACCTTAGCTAATTAGTTATGCATGTAAGAAAAAAAAAAAATGCTCACACAAGGGTGTTTTTTTTTTTTTTTCCCCAGGAAGCCCTGCGAGTTAGGCTTAAATATTGATATCAATTTTGTCCCCTGGCTTGACGTCATGCTTTTTTCATAAATATAAAAGAACCTTTTAAAGTGATGAGCTATCAAAGTCAAACTCACTGTCAGATCAAGGCCAATTCACTATTCATCTTTAGTTCCAGTAGTATTAATAGACAATGGTATTTCTCTTTCAGCAATAGGTTAAGAACTGGATGCTCCCTTTGGAGAAGATATCGCCTAAAAGCTACCATTACATCTGAGACTTTTCTAACGACCAATAAGTCTGCCACTTCCGACTGCAGGAAGACCATCTTTTAGTATGGAGGAGCCTCTTTATTCTTTCCAAGTTCAAGACCCTCATCTTGCATCCTGATCTCAATATACATTGTATTCTCTGCTGGATGGATATGTAACGTGCCTACTAACCTCGCAACGGACAGAGAGGAGCTATTCTAAACAGAATGGAGGAAAACTACACACACACACACACACACACACTTTTATGCGAATAATGTAGGCATTATATGTTTTTGCGGACTGCAGATACCCCCAGATGTTATTTTCATAAGCGCATTACACCAGTATTTTTACATTGCTTACTTTAATTTCAAATTTTTTTCTGTCCAACAGATTTAATGTTACAATAAAACTGATCTCATGGAAACTTCATTTAAGGTAAGTATGTTCCTAAACCAAGTACAGCTAATGGTGAACTGAATGGGCTTGTGATGGAAATGAGGCACCATGTTGAAACCAGAATATGATTGTATGAAAAGCTGGAAATCAGTAAGAAAGAAATGATCCTAGGTCTTAAGTACAAGAAGATGTTGTTTATATTTTATAGCTTTCATAAATTTTAAAGTGAAGCATAATTTTTGATAATCAATGTCCTTGAAATCAACAAATATAAGTCACCAGAAGAAACTGTGCTTTCACCTTAAAATAGGGCAATTTTGTTTATTCCTTCATTATCATCATCAGACTTCTGGAACCCTTCAAAGTCAGCTCCTTCATCACTATTATCTTGAAATATCTCAGAACTGCCTGCAGATGCTCTTCTGTAACTCCTAAACTGATGTCATCATTATCACTGTCTTCAGCATCTTCATCTTCAACATTGGTATTCTGCTGATACACAATCCTAGACTTTCTGAAGCTGTTGTAGATAGTTGCTGGGGTTATTTTCCCCTAAGCAGAACCTGTCAAAAAACAAACAAACAAACAAACAAACTCACTGCCACTGAGTCAGTTCGACTCATAGCGACCCCTCCTTGGGTTTCCAAGGCAGGACCTCTATGGAAGTAGATTGCCCAATCTTGCTTCCAAGGAGTGACTGGTGGGTTTGAACCACCAGCCTTCTAGTTAGCAGTCAAATGCCTTAGGCACTATGCCACCAGAGCTAATGTCACCTGCTTCAATTGTCCTGATGGTTTCATCTTATGAATCTCAAACTGCATCCATTCATCTCATTCTTTTTCATGAAAGTCTTGAACGAGTGGTTGACCACTATACATAGTAGTGGAAGCTTGCAGGTAAGGCCACTAGGTATGACTGCTATATGGGCACCAGTTGAGTTAATATAATTTTGAATGCGTTTTTCTTTGTAAGCAGCCATGACATTGAAAATTAGTAAAAATTTTCTTCAAAAAGAAACCCCCCCATGGGAGGGGAGGGAACATTGCAAAAATAAAAATAAAATGAAAAATTATAAAGAAAGAAGAATCCCCCTTGCCTGGCCCAATAATATTTACCTACCTATACTCTGATAACATCACAGTCCATCCATCCCTTCTTATTTATAATGAACAACTACATTTATGGGCAGTTTTTCACAGGGCATCTTAACTCTCTTGAAAATCACCATTGGCTTTAGTTTCACTCCACTCACAGTGCAACCAAGGACTGTAGTGAAGCAAACACTCTCATGCCCACTGGTTATAATGGGTAGTTCTTTTTAGTTTAAGTAGTTATAGTCCTGGTGGCTAGAAATGTCAAAAGACATAAAACCCTCATCCATATGCATTACATCCACTGCAAAGATACAGAGTTCAGAATTTTCTTTGGTGATGAATTCATGGATGTTGACCATCTTTTGCTCCCAATCATGTGGAAGCTGCTGGCATATGGTGGTTCTCATTATCACGGAAAGGCCATTCCTTTTCATGAATTTAGAAATCTAGATGAAACCTGCCTTGAAATCTAGGATTGCTCTTTCATTTACCAGAAGCTTCACTTTGACCTGAATTGAGATAGTAGAGACAACTTGATTCTGTTCCCTTAATGAAATAATCCACTCTTTCAGTGCATTCTCCAGCATAGGCCATTTTACTTACGGCCCATGATAAGCACATTTTTGCACATTCAATCTCTGCAGCTCCTTTTTCTTCTTTCTCCATTTATGAATGTACAACTTTCCAATCTTAAACTCTTCTGCTGTTGCTCTGTTGCTTGTTTCTTTAGCCTTCATAATGACTGTCAGTTAGAAGTTGGCAGTGTAGGTCCTGTATTTAATTTCTGACATGATCCTGAAGGCTCTCTAAGATTTATATTTATAAACTGAGAAAACGAACACAATATAATCAGTAACTGGCTGGTTCTATGAAGAGATTGTAAAATTCAAATGTGAGGTGTACAAGCAGCAAGTGTCTTTTTATATGCGTGAAAGTATATGACTAAAGTGACTTGTGATCAGACATTGGTTCTAATAAGACATAATTAGACTATGAAATAAGCAGACTTAACATAATTTAGTGGTTTCACTTGAGATGATCTGATAAGGTTTTCACATTCAATTACTGAGCCTACAGTCATCCTGTATCAGCTATGCTTTGTTTACTCCTCCAATTAAAAGCCAAAGTTGGAAGACCACTGTGATAATTATGTCAATGCAGACTGAATCCAGATTCCTTTTGATAGCTACTTGATGCCATTTATGCCAGTGTAGGCTTTGCTTGTTTATACTTCCAACTGACACACATAATTTGTGGACCAGTTCCAACTGATGACTCAAAATCAATAACAATATAATTATCAACTTAAATTAATGGAAACATAGTTTCAATTGTTTATTTTCTATTTCCAGAGGTACTACCAAACTTGGTCTATGACTTCTTGACCATGGTTTATATCTTCACTATGCAAATATGATGAGAAGAACATTTTCAGATTATTGAATTAGGGTGAATGAGGCTAAAATTCACTTCTGGAAATGTCACGAGACATGTGCAGTATATGCACACGAACACTATGCCAGAACTCTTTTACACAAATCTTGTCATTTGCGTGTGTTATATGCGTGTGTTATTTACATGGACACACTATTTGTAAAAAATATGGACACACATATGTATATGTGTATATATCTATATAAATAAACAAACAAAACAAACTCACTGCCATGGAGTCAGTTCCGACTCACAGCGATCTCTCCTTTGGTTTCCTAGGCTGCATCTCTACGGAAGTAGATCGCTCAATCTTCCTTCTGAGGAGTGGCTGGTGAGTTTGAACCGCCAGCCTTTTTGTTAGTAGTCAAATGCCTTAGGCACTACGCCACCATATACATATATATATACATATATATTTATATATACAAATAAACACACAAGAACGGATGTATTTTTAGCTGGGAAGTAAGAAAGAAATGTCTCTCCAATTTAACCTCCAAATTAGGAAACATGAAAAATATTACTGAAAATCT